CGTCTATTTGTTCTATTACGAATCCAATTCCCCCTAAAAGATGATTATCGACCAAGAATATGCTAATTCTATTGAAACAAGTTGTGATAGCACTGGTTAAAGTGTCATCTTCGGAATCCATTTTATTTCTAACTTTTGATAACAGTTAAAGTTTGTCGACAAAGGAAGTATAATTTAATCTTGTAATCTATGATTATAACAATGTATAAGAAATGAGTAAGTAGATACCTGGATTACTGATTCTTCGAAATTTCTCTGAATCACTGAACACCTACCGACATTCGTATCGCAGGTGACTTTGACGCCGACATTATTGATGCTTAAATTATTAAATCCGTCGTAAGGCATATTAGTTGTCTGGGATTTTTGTGGCGTGGAGGGTGAATACGAACTAGCATGTATCCCATATAATCCTCGAAATCATCATTCATCACTTCGTAATGATCTAAGATTAGGATTGATGAATATCATAACTTAAAAAAATGTAAAAAATATTTTTTTAAATTTAAATCAGTTTTATTTGATTTATCCTTAACTACCTTTAATGCAGAGAAACACAATACATACCACAAAATATACAACACACGTCGTAGAAATCACATACATCAAGTGCCCGTATCAACAGCTCACTACCAGAAATCTACATACATGTACGTTACTATACAACGCATTGCCAGATGACATTAAACAATTGAAGTCGGTTCACAAATTTATGTTGAAAGTGAAATATTTTCTGCTGCATAACCGTTTCTTTCTTAATTGTATATTTTAAAAAAGGTATAATATAATGGTAGCAAATAATCCACTTTAGCTTCCAGGTCAATGATCCCCCTCTCGATCAGGTTTTTGCCGTATTTCCATGATCCATGCACTAAATACTGAGATGACCCCTTGTTTTTCTTCTGGGCGTAAATGTAGTTTCACTATGCACACGTTTTGTTGAACTCTCCTTTTGCTTGTCATGGTGGAGTAGAGATAAGGGTGAGTTACTATTTTGTTAGCAATGCAGAAAAACCAAACTTGCAGTTTGTTTACCGTTGCAAATAAGTTTACTATATCTAGGGAACAAAAATGTCTAGTTTTTCAAATGTTGCTAATCTCGCGATATTTTAAATTTTATTTTTTTTATTAATCTTTAACTTTTACGCGTTCTTCAACTATTTATAGTTAAAATGGTGGCAAGGTATTCAAGGGCTCAAGAAAACGTGCGCAGATGATCTTTGCCTCCATACGTCACATACAGTTTTTACTGTTTTTTGACTAAAATAAATAAATAAATAAAAAGCAGAAAATTGTTTTAAATTGACATTGTTTAAATCTATTATTAAATTATTGTAATTTTATTTTAGAATAAAGATACTGTATTCATGAGAGGTCCGGTACTTTACTGCTCTTACCCACAAAAATCTTCAAATTTGAGTTACGTACTTAGCTTCGTGATTTGGAAACACTTCTCGTGCGTCCATATTACCGAATAAGCTTGTGGCACCGTCTATGAGCATGATTTAGGTAAAAGGCATTCTTTTTTCAATGCAATTTTACCACTTTTTTACCGCCCTAATCAAAAAGTTTATAAGAAATGTAATATATTCTTTATATCAAATTTCTAATTAAGTATTTTTATCTGATAATTTTTTATTTTATAAATATTTAAAGCACAAATATATTTTCAAATATTACAAATAATAAATATTGATTTAAATCATTAGTTTTTGTAAAACATAAGCACAGGGCAAGGAGTGACTTAAAGCAATTCCTCGTTTCCAACGATATGCGACTGATGATACGTTTGTCATGATGTGACGCAGAGGTATCCTGGAAATTTGATTTGATTCAATTTCGTCACAGAACACTAAAAACTGTACGCGACGTTTAAGGAAATAGTAAATTCTGAGCAGATCTGCAATTGTTGCACCTTGTTAACTTTACCCAAACTTTTAGCAGATTGGTATATTTTATGTGAGAAATTCTCTTTAGAGCCTCATTATATAACCTATCGAACTGTTTTCTTATAAGGATGCTTCTGTTTTACCTATATGGCGGCGAGGGACGGAGGCCTACTTTTGTGTTGCATTGCCGTTACGTGTTATTTTTGAAAGGATAGACATATTATGTACATCACACCTTTTCTACTACCAAAAATATTATACGTATTATATTTCCTTTTATCCTGAAGATCCCCTGACCCAAAAATATCCAAGATTCCATGTTAAATTTTATAACATGATAGAACAACGAGGAGGATGACAGTTTTCCGAAAGAAAGAAATGTGGGAATGCGTGCCAAACTGATACTTTTACTCCACTTCATGGTATTACTTAGATTTTTAAAAAAATGTTGTGATATAGTTTAAAGTTCTACAGTTTATATATAATAGAGAGAGCGTGTGTGTGTAGTATAATTATAATCATTTAATTTTTCTAGTGGAATGCCCCAAGTGTTAGAAGATTATTGGACATTGCGATAATATACACTCACTAATCTTTCCATTTAAATCACTCATCAAACTTCAGAAACTAGCTATTTTCGCTCCGCTGTCAATAACCTCAGGCTTAAATGTTTTCTTGAACAGGAAATTAGATTGATAATAGCTAGTGATAAAACATAGTGTTTTAAAAAGAAAGATTTTTGCAATTTTCTAAATGTCAGAGATTTTAATGAAAATCGGAACTACACTACACGATAAGTGTAAATGCACTTTCTTCTGTTCAAGTAAAAAGTTTGAAGACATTCATAACCTCTTTGGAAGATCCTAAATATATGGATAGTAAACTAGTGGTGCTAAAACAGCACGTTCTTTCTCGCCCGTACTTTCACCCAAAATTAAGCGAAAAGTACTCAAATTTTCAATAAATTGTATGTGACTTTATTTCAAAATCTATCTTTAAAGAACATATTTCCTTACGGGAAAACCTTTATCTACAATATTATAGTATTTAGGAAGAGTCCAAAAACTTTTGAACTTTTCCGATTTTCGAAAACCCAGGTTTACAAAGAACACGAGATCTGCGCCATTCTGTTAAACTGTCTTCACAGTATCCAGCAACAAAATGTAATAAAAAAGATTGGTTGAAAATTTTGAACATGTCCCACAGACGCAGGCAGACAGACGCAGGCAGACAGACGCAGGCAGACAGACGCAGGCAGACAGACGCAGGCAGGCAGACGCAGGCAGGCAGACAGACGCAGGCAGGCAGACAGACGCAGGCAGGCAGACAGACAGACGCAGAAAGGCAGACAGACAGACGCAGAAAGGCAGACAGACAGACGCAGAAAGGCAGACAGACAGACGCAGGCAGACAGACAGGCAGACGCAGGCACACAGACGTTTTGCCGTCATTCGAATTTTCGGAATCAAAGACCCACAAAACATTCTGGCTACACCACGTGTTAGAAGATATTTTTTAAATTTTGCAGTTCGTCAACCGAAAATTCGTGGTTTTTTGGCGCAGGATTGCATATATTTTTGTCTACATCTCCGTAGCGAAAAAGTAAAAATTGCTCTCTAGAAAATCGGGATGAAGTGTCACTTTCGCGCGCGCAACGCTCACGCGGCGCGGCACATCGGCTGTGAAGCCGCAGGCACTGTGGGGTCTCCGGCGGTGCTGGGTGTTCAATTATAGTTTCTGCGTGTAATCGGTAAAATTGTGGAGTAATTGACTTCATTGGTTGTATTTTACTTCTTTTTCCCATATTCATTTAGTAATGGTCTATAGGGAAAATATAACTTACCCCTGCCTAGAATTTTTCAACGTAAGTTGACCAATCGTCCTCGATCCTGCCCTGCCCTACCTCGAAAAGTGTCCTCCTACCTGTTTTCCTTTTCGATATTTAAAACTAATCTGTTAATCTCTGTACTCAGATATCTCACACTGAACTGTTTCGCGTCCGTGTGATGGTACAATTTGGAATGACACCATTAGGTTGTCAGAACGGCGGGATTTCCGCCATTTTCAGTGGATTTTCAACTCGAACGTCGGAAAATGAGTAGTTTAGCGGACAGTGGAAAAAACGGTGGAAAATAATGGAGATGGAAGAAAATAAGCGGAAAAATTCTCTATTTAAATAATCAAAAGGGATGTAAACATAATGAGGGTGTTTTTGTTTGCGTAACTAAAATGTTTCATTTAATTATTGAATTATTATATAATTATTTTTTTCTCAAATTTGTGTGTCATCCTATCATTGGTCACCTTATTTAGTGGTATTAAGTGTTTTATGTGAACAATTCATTTTATCTTTTAATTTTACTTAAAATGTTGTGTTAATTCGTAACAATGTACTCTGAAGAATATCCAAGATTTATGGAAATTAAAAGCTAGTGATGTTACAACAGCGTGTATTTTCTTATATCAGTAACGTTTAAGTAAAATTATAATTTCCCAATTTCTGTCCCTATTAACACACATGCAGACTGTTCTTAATGTCATGATAAACAAAATCCGTGTTATAGTTCAAATGTTCAATCTTAACAATATTGAATACGTATATTCTTACCTCTGTGTGTCGGTTTGAATTGCGCGGCGGAAGTGACATTTAAATCCAATGTTTTGAAAGTTAATTTGCTTTTCGAAAAATCTGAGTCTACCATTCTTCATGAAATTCAACCGAGTATCTAGGTTAACGTCACGGTAGCATCCGAGCATCTAGTAATGCAAACGAATGTTTGTGTTTAGGAAAATAAAATGAAAGAATAAAATGCTACGTCTATTGTTAGATGGACAGTATTACCTAATTTTCATTGCGAAATATCGATTACTCATTTGGTAATGAAAAAATGATGACGCTAATGCTCGTTTCGTAATATGTCGTGCTCACCGCAATTGGCAGTGCTACTGGAAAGGTATTTACTTCGACATCGTTTGCTCGATGCTTAGTGTTTCTGTTCAGTGAATCGAACTCTTCACGCAGAAGTTGTAACCCCTGACTCAGCACCGGACATCGTGGTTGATTCCTTTTCCATATCTTCCGAGTTTCTTCCTGTGTGAAGTAGCTTACAGTTACAGGCGGTATTTGTGGTACTTGTTGCTCGAATCCTAATATGCGCTGGAGGTTTATAGTGAATTCTCAGGATTTTAAACGTTTTATGGGAAATGGAGACGGAAGAAGAAATTACGAGGCCACTTCTAGCATGTAAGTTGCGTTAAGTACTTTTTTGTGCTTGGAAACGAAGAGAATGGGTTCTATAAATTGCGAAGGTTCCTACATTTCTTGCTTGTGAATCTGGTGGTTGGTAGTTTGCTTACAGCTTTATAAGCGCTTAAATATTAATTTTAAATTAATCTTTATAGCTACTTTCTACTACGTTAAATGAATTGGCTCACTTTATTATGAGTTACGGATTGTTTGGGTTATAATAATACAGTCACACAAAACAGAGTTACAGTCACACCAAACTGTTTCTTCTTGCTATTTTCTTTTAATATGAATATTTTCCAATTGTATCATATTATTTGTTAGACCTGAAATATTAATTACGTAACAACGCGTGTATTGCTGCATATCGCTCGTATGACTAACGTTGTATGATTTGGCTTTAGGTGCGCTCTAGCAGTGTAATTGTGCCACATATCAACAGTCCTGCGGGAAAAGAGTCAAACAGGTGCTACCAGATTGCCTCGATAATATCCCTACACGGGACGTGCACTCAAGGTAAATGTGGCGATAATGGGTCAATAAGTTCGTAAATATTCACCTGATTTATTTATACAACCGTTTACAGCTGTTTTATTATGCCGAATGAATTGGCTCATTATTTTATTGTCAGGTACAGAATATTTTGATTCGTAAATATAAATTAAAATTGCAATCACTAATGACTGTTTCTTCTAGCGATTCTCTTTTATCATTTTTTTTCTATTTCGAGACTCTGTGCTTTTGAGATGTGATATTCATTATGCTGTATCGTGTCCTTGTTTCCTTAAGAAAACGACACGATCAAGTTCTAGCGCAGTTTCCCTGATCCATTGACCAAATGCTGTCCTCTAGTTTTGCTTCTGGACAAAAATAAAGCTTCAATATGCGTACGTTTTGTTATTTATACTTTTGCTAATTAACGCCCTGGTTTTGATATTTGCGGTATGGGTAGAACGAGAGGTGCAGGTTGATATTTGTTAGCGATATAATAAAATTAAATATATAGTTTATTTACCTATGCAAATTCATTTTTTATGACTTCAAGCTAACACTTGGTTTTCAGATGTTGTAAACTCGCCTTGTTTGAACACTTTCAACACTGTGTAGTAAAAGGGTGTGGAAGGGATTCTGTAGGTCAAGAAAACGTGCCCCGATTATTCTTCTTAATACGACACATACAGTTTTTACTGTTTTGACCAAAATCAAATCTACGATTGTTGTGCAATCATTATTGTAAATTCATCTTTTATCATTTAATTTAAAATGCTTCACATGTCGAATTTCTCTCAACTGAATTGCACTTAATGCTTTATATTTTTGAAAATTAAAAATTATTTTAATTTGAATTTAACCGTACTGAACGTTCTATTCAATACATGCCTTGCATTGTTACACAGTACGCGAGAGACGAGAATAGCATACATTAAAAACGGATGTTTCATAAATGATCGTTATAAATATGAAGGTTTCAGAAGAACTAGCAATTTCCGCATTTTCTAGGAGTGAACTTCATTAGGCAGCAACCTTTGCTAGCAACAACTTCGCAGGAAACGCAACAATTTTGCCGTAAGTGCCCTAATCACTACGGCAGAAGAGGAATAACTGACGTTGAAGTCAAAGAACTGAAAGACATAATAAGGAAAATATGGATCTAAAAATAATTGTATTGAACAGAGCCTTTTATGGGATCGGAAATGTTGCGCGAATACTTGTAAACAGAAAAAAAGAGAAAATAGCTACGCCGGCAGGGTCATATGATGCCAACAAAATTCTCTTGAAAGCAATGTTCGACTCATGCACTTATGAGAAGAAAATACGAAGAAGTCAATTGCATAAATTACTTTAAGTAAAACATTCAACAAATTATGCGTTGACATAGGTTGGGATAACAGAGAAATATCTATGGATTCCGTTTGCAGTATAACAATCATCTGACGCGTGTCCTGTCTTATTTATTTTATTTATTTACGTCAACAACAGTTGAACACTCTGTGTGACGTACAATGGAAAAAGTTAATTTGATGTTACATTTACGTCGCAACAAAATCAGTGGTACTTATTTACAGTATATATATATATATATATATATATATATATATATATATATACATATATATATATATAATATTTAGTTAACGCGAACAGTATAATTTCTTTGCCATAGTTCCGTACAACACGTATACAGATCTTGGTAAATATAAAACATTTGAACTACACTTTCAGAAACTGAGTTCTCAGTTCGATTTTATTGTTCCAGAATTTGTAAACCTCCTTCATTTTATTCAACTTCCAGATTAAATACTGAACGTCATGAAAAAAATGAGTTTTTTTGTTTTCCATTTTTTGAATACATATGGCTTTTCTCCAGTTCTGCGAGATCAAATTTATATTCGCATTCATTCTCGGAAACTAGGTATTTTTGGTGGGGGTCGTGGATAGGGGAGTCGCATATTATGTCGGGGTATTATAGAATTATAGTAGAAAAAGTCACACGCGTTTGCTCTGTGATTGGCTTCCAGATTTCTGGAAGCGCAGTTACCACATTTCGGTGGTTCATCTTGAACCAACGATGTGGTTCTGTGCATCTTACGGAGTATGGTTGGCGATGGCAATTGTTTTTAGTATGCTTGAAATCCTCTCAATCCAGGCATTGCACTGGTCCGGGTCGGCGCCTTCTAGCTTCTACTTTGATGACACAATGTAAGAATCGTTGGATTGGTTCTAACAGAACTGCTGCAAGAAAAGTAGGTGATTGTGATTTGTATATCCTGTTTACTTTTATTGCTGGGTAACCGTGATAATTCAATTCTTCCACTATAGTTATTGCAGAAGTAGTTAGTGGAATGTTTCCAATAACGTCCGACAACAATTTGTTTCCAGGCAAGGCGAAAGTATGATTTTCGCATGTGTTTTCTGAAAGTGTGACAACTTTTGCGTATAGGTTGTCGGTTGGCGAGAATTTTGAAAATATTGTTGATGCTTCGTATAAAGTATCCTCAAAATCAAACTAGCCCTTTCAAAGTCGCAGGGTCTCGAGTTCGTCCAAGTCGATCGGGGAAGGTCAGTTTTGTAAAAAATCGTCGGAAGTGTTTAGGTGCTAGTGTTTAAACCCAAATATATACGTTTCGCTTTAACTAATTTTTCGGTATCATTACCCACAAACGCGGATACTGACTACACAATTGTCATATGTCAATTTGTCAATATTGTCAAATGCTTTGGATTTATCTAACACAACATCTACACCACTCTCTATTTTTTCATGTCACTGACTGGTTAATGAAGAATTTGAATATTAGCGAAACAGCCAGGTTCAGAGATAAACTCTTTCTAACGTGGATTGAACTTCACCACGGATTAAATGCGTTTGTACATAATGTCCCAGATGGATTTGTACAGGTCATTAACCTCATCTCTGTTAAGGGGCTGTTTATCGACACTACTACAGTCAATGCCCGTTCTAATGCACGTTGCCAAAAGCGCTGGATCATTCTTGGAAAGGTCCTGTGCCCTAACATAAGAGTAGCGCTTCCTAGCGCGTTTGCCTCCATGTCCACGGGGCCTTTTACAACTGATGGTGGTGGATACAGAGGAACCAAGATCTCCACTAACATGGCATATATCTCGTTCAATTGGTTCTGGGAAACAATATTTGTTTTGAGTTCATTTCCCAACTCAACGAGCTCTTGATCTACAATAGTTTTAGAACTGCCCCAGGTTCCTATCCAAGTTCAAATATTTCCCTTCCAGTTAGGCTTGGCCTCTAGTGTGCCTCTGTTTAGACAAGTTTCAGTAGTTACGTCTCCGGGCGTCATAGCAGTCGAGGAGTCAATAAAAGTTTGGCCCTGTCCTACCCGACCAGCAGTGTCGGAATGGGCCATGTCAACAGCAGATAAAACAGTAGCAATGAGGACGGGCTCAGCCGAAAGCTCCTGATTCATCTCTGAAACTGTAACGGCCTCCTCGTTAGGGGATCGCCCCCAATCTGCGTCCGGGGAGACAAAGTCTACCATTGCGAGTTCCTCAGATCCACTGCCTATGGCCGAGGTTTTGGACGGGAATCGGTAGAAGTCTGTTTTCTTATCTCGAATTGTAAAGACGTTTACGCCCCCCTTTGGGCAAGTGTCAGAGCAAGAGATCATTGGCTTCCTTCCTGTCTCAATGGTAGGCCTTTGATACAGGGAGAAGAAGAAATCAGCATAGCACCGACATTAGTCTTCGGAGGGCTAATGACCCTGCAAGGCGATGCGATAACAGCAGCTCTAGTAGAAGGTCTAGATAAATCATCGGACCACTGACCGTCACATGGGGACGAAGATGACTCTGCAGTGACGGTAGTTACAGTTTCAATGGTTGATAAATATAGTCGATATGTAGTCTCTTTTCTTTTTTCACCCACCTGTCGGGCGGTCTTACCCAGTAGAGCAGCGAAATTCTCATTCGACGTCTCTGGTTGCTCTTTCACCAATGCCGCCATTTTCATAATTTCCTCCAAAGAGAAGACTTTCCCTGCTCTAGGCACAGCAGTCCTACCACTCCGCTGTGCCTTGGCAGCTCGAGCCCTATTAGCTGCGTCTGGATGAGCATGGCGCAAATGTTGTGAGAGCCCTGATTTGGTTGCGATGTTGGCGGAGCATAACTCGCATATGAAGTCACCTTTAGATTGTTTCGGACCCGAGCACTTAGGGAAATGACTCAATGCTGGTAGCTTACCTTACTTTTGTAATTCTTCCTACATTTGGAGCATGAAAAGAGCAGGGGATTATCGCTATGGATAGTATCGTGATGCCGAACCACGTTATTCAAATCAATGGCCATGAAGCCACCCCCTCCTTTCTGGGCACAATGTGCGCAGCGAATCACCTCGAAGGGAGTCCTAATCATGAACCGTTCCAAGATGGGTCGTCATAAATGGTGGCTTGTTGTTCACGGGGCGCGCCGCCATGGGCACCCGCGTCCGAGGCTTCGTTTATGGGCCAGTCGCTCCGAGGAGCACG